GGGAAGAGCCAGCCCTCTCAGAACTGCCACCAAACATGGCCCAACCCCACAGTCTGTGGACAGTGACTCCCTCCCTAGCCTCCCTCCCTGGCCTTCCTCAGAGTCAGGCAGTCTCTGAGCTAGGGTTCCAAAACCTGCAGCCACAATGGCCCTGACCACAGGCCCGGCCCTGCCACTGCCAGAGTTGGTGGGCAGAGCAGCTGGGGCTCAGGGGCAGCATCACCTCCTCATGCCGGGCCTCCTTCTCAGTGTAGAGTGCTCTGAGGAGCCGCAGTCACAGATCCACATGTCCAGGCACCTCCTTGTCCCTCCCCACACAGGCAGCTCGGGCTTTATTGCCTGTGTCTTCCTCAGCCTGGGCGTGTCTGGCCAGAGGTCAGGGTCCCACAATCTCACTGCCCCAGGGGCTGGGCCCATGGCTGCCCAGCCCCACCCCAACCTGGAACCAAGGTGTCCCCAAGGAAATGACTCCCTGAGAAACCTCCAGGTCACCCACCTGGCCCACCCCCACTGCCTGGCCTGCTAGACCACCCTTGCCATCCCACACAGTGCCCTCATCCCCCACACTCACTCTTCTCTCCTTGGGACACACCAGGAAGTTGTCCTGCATGGGCAGGCCTTGGCCTTGTGACCCGGAGGAGAGGGTACTGGCCAGAAGCATGGACCCCAAGCTGGACTGAAACTCCTGACAGAGTGTGGCTGGATGGAGCTTTCAACCTGAGGATTGTCCCAGCCCTGCCCTCAAATTGCCCCTGTCCAGCCTGCCAGGGCAGCGTTGGGGCAGTGTGGCCATGGGGTTGAGCTGCCAGCCCTCCCATAACTGAGTTTTCCCAAAACCAGGACTGGGATTTTGACAGGATGGAGTGAGGATCACAAAACAATTTTAGAATCTGAAACTTTAACGTGAACAATTGGGAAATGGCCGCTGCAAGAAGTGATGCACCTTGGGCAAGAGTGAAAAGCGCCTTGGGCCACCCAGCACCAGCCAGCCGGTAGCAAAGGCCCACAGGCAGCGGCTCAAGAGCTAGAGTCCTCCCAGTGGACAAGCAATGACTGCAGGTCAGCTGGAGCCTTAACAAGGAGACCCAGCCCGAGGCAACCCACTGGGCCTGGGACCCCCACACTGGGGTAACCGCAAGATGAGGCTCAGCCCTCCCCATCTCTCTGGCCTCTCCCCCTACCTCCAACTGCAGCAAGCCCTGCACACTTGCTCAAAGAAGGCCAGAGACTTGGAAGGAGAGCCCCAGTGCCACCTAGACACAGCATGCCCAGCCACAGGGACAGCCCAGGGTGGAGACTTGTGGGCCTTCAACCAGCCCACACAGGGCAGCACAAGGGGCCAGGCTGAGGAAGACACATGGGGACACAGCGCCACATGCCACGAGGTTCAGTCCAGGGAGGTGACTAAACCCACAAGCAAGAGAGCAACAGGCCAGGTGTCAGGTTTCAAGGCTGAAACATATTATCTCAAACATCTAGTTTTTTAAATTAATAGACTTCATTTTTTGCAGTTTTAGGTTTAGTGAGAAGGTGAGCAGAAGGTGCGAGCTCCGTGTGCCCCCTGCCTCTCACCCATTTCCCCCATCACACCCTGCAGCAGTGTGGCCTGTGACCTGCAACGAGCAGCCGGTTAAGGCACCTGCTTTCAACCCAAGGCAAAGGAACAGGAAAAGCATGGCCAGTATTTAGGGGAAAGCTAGTTCTAGAAACTTCCTCTGAGTGAATGTAGGTGTTAGGCTTCACAAATAAAAAGCAATGGAACTGGGCAAGGTGGCACACGCCCGTAATCCCAGCAGTTCGGGAGTCTGAGACACGAGGATCCCAAGTTCAAAGCCAGCAATGGTGAGGTGCTGAGCAATTCAGTGAGACCCTGTCTGTAAATAAAACACAAAATGGGCTGGGGATGTGGCTCAGTGGCCAAGTGCCCCTGAGTTCTATCTCTGGTACAACTCCTCCCCCCCCAAAAAAAATGGTAATGGAAACCGTGTTTAGAGAACTAAAGAAAAGTGTGATGAAATGTCTTAAATAATCTCAATAAGCAGTTCACTGAAAGAACAAATTTGGCAACACAGGCCTGCAGTCCCAGCCACCCCAGAGGCCCAGAGGGAGGTTGCCTGAGCCAGGAGCCTGAGACAGCCTGGGCAGCACAGGGAGACCCTGCCTCCTAAAAAATAAAAGAAAAACAAAAAGCACCAAATGAGAATTTGAACTGTTGAAACCCCAACACAAGGAGAAAATCTTGAGACCAGCAAGAGAGAAATACTCAATACAGAGCACAGACAGCACATTAATTAGTGGCTGACTTCTAATGGAATCATCAAAAAGGAGCACCAACACTCTGCCATCTACAACGGGAACAAGGACACTCCTTCCATGAAGCAGGGACACCCAGCTACCAAAGCCACCAAAGACATCATGAGAAAAGAACACTACAGACCACTCTTGAACACAGACACAAAAACCACTGATACAACATTAGCTTGATTCAGCAACACACAAAAAGAAATTATTTGCACTATTCCAGGAATGCAAAGTTGGCCCAATATTTAAAAATCAATGTATTTATTACACTATGAAGGATAAAGAGCTCATGTCATCCTAAAAAGTATCTGACAAAATCCAATACCTGTTTATGGTAAAAACTTTTTTAAAACTAGGACTAGTCAGGAATGGTGGCACACACCTGTCATCCCAGTGTTTTGAGAGGCTGAGGCTGGAGGATCAAAATCAAATTTGAGTCTAGCCTCAGCAATTTAATGAAATCTTCAGCAACTTAGATCCTACCTCAGAATAAAACATCAAAAGATCTAGGTATGAGCTCGGTGGTAATGTGCTCCTGGGTTCAATCCCCACTACCAAAAACAAACCAAAAACACTAGAGCCAGGCCCTGGGTTCAATCCCAGAAGGGAACTCCCTAACCCTGGTAAAGGAGCACCTACAAGAAATCTGTGGCAAACACCGTATCTAGTGATGAGACACTGCCATCCGTCCCCTTAAGACAGGAACAAGACAAAGGTGCCCACTCTCTCTGCCTCCATCCTACACTGTGCTGTTCCAGTGGATGGATGGACCCCAAGGGCATTATGCTGGACAGGAAGAACGCTGCCCAGCTCACTCACATATGGAGTCCAAAAATGTCGAACTCAGAAGCAAAGGGTTAGGGCTGGTTGCCAGTGCGGTGGAGCCAGGAAATGGGATGTCACAGGACACAGACTGCAAGCAGTGAGATGATCAGGTTGTAGGGATGGTACACAGCAAGAGTGTGTGTTAATAAGCTTGACTGTAGTGACCATCACACAGGTATGTTTATCAGCTCGTCTCCTCCCAACCCCTCCACAAGTAATCGTAAAACAAAGAAAGGGTGTGTGCAGCATACAGAGAGAACTCTCACGACTTGATAATAAGATGAACTGCCTGACTGAAAAGTGCTCAGAACATCTGAAGGGACATTCCACCAAAGGTCTGCAAATGGCTAGTAGGCCCTGAGAAGATGCTCAGCACTGTTAGTCACCAGGGTAACTAAGATGCAAACCACTGCCAGCCCACTGTGCACCTGCCTGGGTGGTACCAAGTTCTCCCCTCAAGTCCTGTGTTGCAGTTCTAAGCCTTCAGAGTACAGCTGCACTTGGGGTTAGGGTCCCTAAGGAGGCAACAAGCTAAAATAAGGTTGTTAGGGAGGCCCCTAATCCCACAAGACTGGAGTCCTGATAAGAAAAGATTAGGGCACAGACACAGGGCCAACCATGAGAGGACCAGGGAGAAGACTCCCTTTCCATGTCAGGAACAACCAGCCCTGCTCACACCTTCATCTCAGACCTCATCTCCATAACAGTGAAAAAATGAGGTCTGTTGTTTAAATCACCCATCTGCAGCAATTTTTTGGCAGCCAGAGGTGGCTAATTCAGATGGATACCATGAAAAAGACAATAGCAGATGTTGGTGAGAGCCCCATACTACTGGGATGTAAAGCTACTGCCAAGGAAACACGTTTGCATTCCCTTAAAAGCTAAATGTACACTTAATATTCAAATATTCAGCAGTTTCTCTCTGCATCATCTACTTGAGAGAATGAAGCACATGTCTACCAAAGACTTGAACAGTAGTGTTCAACGACATCAAAAACATGGTGCCCAAATGGAACAGGATTCTCACCAAGGACATGGGAGTGAGCACAGAGCATGTGCCAGCACTGTGCTTGGAGCCCTGCATGAATCATGGTACACACACCCTCAGCCAAGCACTGTGGAGCACCTTCTGCATGCTGGGCATCCTACAGACAGTCGTCACCTCGGTGACTGGGAAAGCCAAGGCTGCCCTGGGAAAGCGTACAGCCCAAGGAGTCAGAAGCTGACAGAGCAGAAGGCCATCCTCTGGGGCTGGGGTTGTCTCTCAGCGGTAGAGCACTCGCCTAGCATGTGCGAGGCCCTGGTTCGATCCGCAGCACCACATAAAACTAAATAAATAAAGATATTGTGTCCAACTAAAAAATAAATATTAAAAAAAAGAAGGCCATCCTCTGGGTGAGTGGGGGCCAAACCCAAGGGATAGGAGGCAGGGGAGGGGACAGGCAGTCTGTGCCATCAAGGTCTGCCTGGTGGAGGAGCAGCCTGGGCTGGGCTGGTCCCAGTATCTGCCCCCTGCCCTAAGGGGGTGTTTACGTGTGGATTTGGGTTGTGTTGGTCTGAGGTGTGTTGGGTTCCTAGGAGGTGTGTGTGTGTGTGTGTGTGTGTCTGGTGTTGAGGCATGTGAGATGTGTCTATGCTGTGTATTACATGTGTTACATGTGTGAGTGTGAGGTGTGTGTCAGGTGCTTGCCTGTGAAGGTAGGGAGGGGGTGTGTGCGGCCACAGTAGCAGCGGTCCCTCCTCCAGCCTGGTTACCACGGCAACCACAGCCTCGGTCTCGCGGCTCCAGCCCCTTGCCCGCCCCGCCCCCGGCTGCGAAGCGTCTGGAACTGCATCCTCCGCATCCACATCCGCATCCTCACCCTCCCGCGACCGCGTCCTGCAGCAGCTGGAGTAGGAGCCGTCTGTGAGCCATTTCCAGGTTTCTCCTTGTGGAGTGGGGTGAGGGGCCCGTGTGTGTGTGTGTGGGGGGGTGTGCAACGATGTGGCAAGCGCAAGGGTGTGTTGGTGTGTGAAGGAGAGAGTGCGTGTGCAGGGATGTGCTGGGTGTGTGTACGGTGCAAGTGTATGTAGGGGCACTTAGGCAGATTGAATGGTGGCCAGGGTGGCCAGGCACAGCTACCCTCCTACCTTGGGGACTCTGCCTGTCCCCAGGCCAGGCCCATCCTGCTAACCAGAAGTGGGGGGTGGGGAGGTCCTCAAGCCTCTCGGGAAGAGGGAGATGCTGCCCGGTTTTGCTGACTGGATGGGGGTGATTCTCGGGGGTGGGCGATGTCAGGGGAGTCCTAAGTGGGGACAGTCACAACCTGGACGTTCAGTAAGTACCTGAGTGTCCCACCTGCAGAGACCTGACCTGCTGCTAGGATCCCCTTATCAGGCACAGGCGGGCAGCAGACGGGTAGGACTGCAGCCTCCTCCCTATGAGCTGGCTCCACCCCTGCAGGTCTGAGAGAGCCAGTGGGAGCTATGCATCCCCAAGGTGGGCAGAGAGGGCCCGTCCCAGCTCCTGTTCAGCTCTGCCTGCAGACGTTGGCAGGGAGAAGGGACTGGGAATGGGGCGAAGATGGGTAGCAGAAGGGGCATTGGGCCAGAGCATCAAGGATCTGCTGCCTGCATGGGGTCGGGGGCGTGATGGGGGTGGCTGCATGACCGGCAGGAAGTGGCCAGAAAGTAGGGAGGCGGCATTTCTCCAGAACCACCTGCCACAGCTCTGGATATGCGGCCACAGGTGGCTGGAACGCAGGAGACTGCGCCCCGGTTTCTCTTTGCCTGCGCCCCGCAGCTCAGCAGGGCTTCAAACCCGAGTCAAATCACCAACCGCTGCAGGGCAGGGGGGCAAAAGCACCTGGTCGGGCGGTGGGTGGGGGCCTGCGGCGGGGACAGGCGCGGGCGAGGTAGGGGCGGACCCGCAGAGGTCCGCAGTCATGAACGCGCCCGACGCGCACGCGCTGGTGGCTGGCCTGCATAAGCCACGCCCGCGGGCACCTCCCCTCGTGACACAACGTCCCAGAGTTGGGTGGGGTGTGCGAGTGAAAGCAACTCTTATGACGTGACCTCTAGCAGAGATATCATCCATCTGTCCATCAACAGCTTGTGCACCGCCCACCCTCCAATCTTGGAGCTTGGTGCACGGTCCCCACAACAGCAGCGCAGACGTGATTACAGAGCGGGGTGGGGCAGGAGCCAGTAGGAAGAGTAAGGATGCCCACTCCCCACAATTCCAGAGCTGTCTACTGTGTGCATGCATCCAGCGCGCCTTCCCAGCGGATCTGCGTGACTCAGCGACCTAAAGGATGTTCTAGTGTGTGGAGAGGGGCGGGGAGTGATCCCAAGCACAGCCCCCTTCCTAGACACTGAGGCCTGGAACAAGATGCAGAGGCGCGTGTGGGGTGGGGGGAGTCCTGCCCCGTTGCTGTAGGAACCTGAGATGATGCAGCGCCAGGGGAGCTGGAGCTCATAGTTGGCCCCATATGATCCCAAGCGGATCCATCCCGCATTGGACTCTCCCACATGCTTGCGCCTAGCCGCTCCCGACCTGTGCAGAGGCTGGTGTACCTCGGCAGGGCACTCCGTGAAAATCCTAACGCCTCTCTCCTGCACCCTGCATTGCACCCTCTCCTGTCGTTCCATCCTCTCGCCTTTACATGTATTCTCCTTGCCTCATCGTCCATCTCTGCCTTCCCACTGGGATACTGTCAGCACCCAATGCCCAACGGGTTGTGTGCTGTGCGCCAAATTCGAAGCACCGTGAAACCACATCCCCTTAGTACGGTCGCTCACCTGCCCAAGGGAGGTGCCAAGAAGTCAGCACCCTCGTCAGGCCCAAGACCACTCCAGGAAGAGCCTCTCAACCGCTATGGGTGTGGGGCCGTGCTACATGACCTCTTTCCTGGTCTGGCCAGACACAGAGTCACCGGCAGTAAATATGCTTCCAAGGGACCTCTCCCCAGAGTGCCTGAGTGGGGTCAGCAGCAGGGTGACCTCCTCAGAGTGGCCTCCTGCTGCCCCTCCCCAGCTCCTTTCACACAGGCATTGGTGCATTGGTGCACCTGTGTTGAGATGTTGCCCTTCACTGGGTGAGAGCAACACCGTCTTCTCTGTGTTCTATACATTGATTCCACAGATACACTGCTGCACGGCTGCGTAGGGGGCACATTTCAACATGGAGACCTCCAAAACCTACCACCACAGCCTTCCCCGCCTGTTAGGAGATCTGCTCTTCTTTGTGCCTGTCAATAACTTTTTCCACATGGAGGTCCTGCCCATTCTGGCTGGCTATACCTGTTCCCAAGCATTGCATAATTTTGATACTATCTAAATAGAATCTTTTTAAAAAATTGTTTTCCTTTTTTTTTTTTTTGCCATTGGCATAAAGAAATATACCTGCTTTGCAAACTTTATCTCTAGTCATCTCAATAGACTCATTTTCAGTCGTTATCTGTAGCATTTTTGGATTTTCTTACACACCAAAGCAGTTTCTTCCATGAACAATGACAGCATTCCTTGTTCTTGTCCCAGGCTCCGGTTTCATTTCTGTGCCCTGTGTGGCTGCATTGCTGAGATCTCTGCTACTGTGTCATAAAACAGACCAGGTCAAGGTGATTCTTACCTCCTTCCTGGAATCCAGCACCAGAAGACTTGTGTTCAGTGAGCTTCACTGTAGGGTTTTTACTATTAACTTCTATCAAATTAAGGAACATTCCTTCTGTCCCTAATATGTAATTGATTTTTGAAATAGTAAATAAATGTTGAATCCTGTCAAATATTTTTTCTGAAATTCATCAGATGTTTTTCCTTCTTTCTTCTGTTAATGTGGTGAAGATATAGATTTTTTTTTTTTTTTTGTACTGGGTTTTGAACCCAGGAATGCTTAACCACCATGCCACATCCCTAGACCTTTTTCTTTTTTAGTTTGAGACAGGATCTTGCTAAGTTGTTTATGGCCTTGCTTAGTTGCTGAGGCTGACCTCAAATTTGCAGTCCTCTAGTCTCAGCCTCATTTTTTGTATCTTGATGGCTGTAGCTTGCTAGGATTTAACTTGGAGTCTGCTCTGGCATTTGCAGGTGGGAATGAGCTATGACTTCCTCTCCTGTGTCCTTGTCAGGCTGCCAGGTGCAAGCTGTGCTGGCCTTGGCTATGGGTGTCCCCAAATCCTCCTCTCCAGAAATATTGTAGGACGTGGGCATCATTCCTTCTGGAACGGTGGTGGATCAGCGGTGATGCTGACAGGGCCAGGAGTTCTTTTTGAGAGGTCTTAATGGCAGACTACATTTCTTAGTGGACACAGACCTCTTCTCTTAATTGAATGCATTTTGTGCTCTTTTTTCATCTGTCAGCTTCAGGGTCATTTGCTGCACCCCTTTTCTCTCAGAGGTCAGCCTAGAGGTGAATGTGTGTCTGCTCTTGACTTGCCTAGTGCTCAAGGGACTTGCATCCCCTTCCTTCCCCTAAGCCACTGGGGCCCATCCTGACTCGAGGGTTCTGTCCTGGGATATCGGGTTTCCGGGAGATCTGCCCTTCCATGCACCAACAAGACCATGTTCTTCCATTAGTGTCTGAATTTACTATCAGATGCCCTCCTTCAGTAGCTCCAGCAGGGCTGCCAGAGGAACACAGGATACCCTATTGCATTTGAATTTCAGATAGACAAAGATTGACATTTTAGTATAGACATGTTCCATATTGAGTATTACATGGGATTCACTTATATTTTAAAAAGTAACCATTGGTTAACTGAAATTCAAATTTATCTGGGCCTGTGTGCTTAAGACCGGAAACCCAATTCAAACTGCTCTTTGAATCTTTTCCTTTGAGCATAACAGCAGCCCTTAAGAGATCCTTTAGGACAGATCAGTTGGTGGAAGACCCCCCCACACCAGTTTTGTGTCTGGGTAGTCTCTGATCAGAGGCACCACACCCTGCATAGTTGAGGGGCCCCAGGGTCAGGAAAGGACAAAAAGCCTTTGGCTGGAGGAGCACTGGGACTAGCCAGGGGTCCTCTCACTCCAGAGACAGCCGGCATGACTGTCCACAGGGTGGCCTCTGAACAATGACCCTGTCTGTCTCTGGGGCAGGACAAGGGCCACTGTCCACCATGGTGAAGCTGGGCTGCAGCTTCTCCGGGAAGCCAGGCAAAGACCCTGGGGACCAGGATGGGGTTGCCACGGACAGTGTCCCTCTGATCAGTCCCCTGGATGTCAGCCAGCTGCAGCCACCATTCCCTGACCAGGTGAGTAGCTGACCAGTGGGGAGAGGCCTCTTCAGGCCTGCTTGGGAACAGATAGGAGTGAGGTTCATATAGATGTGACCTCCTCCAAGATGCAGTGGAGCCAGGGTCCTGAGAAGCCAATCCTCAGCTGACCACAGCCAAGGTGACCTCCTGTTTGGCTCCCTCATCCAGAACCCCTCTTCCCATCTGAGAACAGGGCAAACTGGCCATAGGATGCCTGAGAATTTGAGCACCCAGCCCACAATGCAGTCTGAGGGACAGCAAACCATAGTATAAACTCTTCTGATAGGCATGGTTCTGGGTGGGGGGCCAGAGATGGGCTCTTTGGGCAAGTGACTAGTGAAGGGTGGGCTTTCAGCAGACATCAGTGGGAAGCAAAGAGCCCAGCTCGACCCTAACCCAGTCTGAGCTCCAGGAACTCTGGGCGTAAAGGACAGTATAAGCTGTCCCAGCTGGAGGCAGGGGACATGCTCTGTGCCCACACCAGGCAGTTCCTAGTGGTACGGTCCCCTGAGGACAGTTCTCCCAGGTGGGCTTCAACTGCTTCTCCTACAGCAGTGGACACTGTGGGCAGGCCCAGCCTTCGTCCTCCAGAACACACAGAGTTTAGAGCTAGCTCTGCTCTATGGCAGGGGCCCCAAGACTATGAGAGTCAGGACAGGCTCTGGAGGAGGGAGCCAAAGCTCCAAGCTGTGGAGCTACCAAAAGGGAAGCTATGGCAGGGAGATTTCACCCCCTTAGAGTGGAGGGTGGGCAGACACAGCATCCACCTCCCTGGGCTTCATTTTGTAGCTGCTGGAGCTCTGCCTGCCATCAGATGGTCCTGGCAGACGGTCAGCTTTACACCATCACCATGCACTGCACCCTGGCTCCTAACACTTCCAGGTTAGGGCTCTCCCGGGTCATTGCCAGCTGCCCAGCAAGGCCATGGCCATCTCCCTCCTCAGGTGGTCATCAAGACGCAGACGGAATACCAGCTGTCCTCCCCAGACCAGCCGAAGAAGTTTCCAGACCTGGAGGGACAAAGGCTGAGCTGCGGCCACCCAGAGGAAGGGCGCAGGGTAACCACACCTACTCATTGCTGTGGGAGTCAGGGCAGGGACAAGTGGAGGGGCAGCCCAGGCTGCAGGTGTCCAGGTTCTAGGCTGGGCTGTCCCCACTGGGTCTAGCCCAGACAGAAGAGCATAGCAGGGGGTCATTCCACTCAGGATGGCCTTCCAGCCTGCCTGACCTTTAGCTTCCACAGACCAAATTTATTCCAAGGCTGACTGCAGAGTGCCGAGCTGGGGCTTTTGCCCCTTCCCAGGGAAGCAGCCTCTCCCCAATAGGCCACTGTCTTTTCTTTTTCTTTCTTCCTTTTTTGGGGGTGTGTGGAGGTACCTGGGATTGAACTCAGGGACACTAAACCATTGAGCCATTTTCCTAGCCCCATTTTGTATTTTATTTAGAGACAGAGTTTCACTGAGTTGCTTAGTTACTTGCTTTTGCTGAGGCTGGCTTTGAACTCACAACCTCCTGTCTCAGCTCCCCAAACTGCTGGGATTGCAGGCATGCGCCAACAGGTCCGGCACCACTGTCTTTTCTTAAGCTACTTGCTGACTTTCTACTTAATATAGATGTTAACTTTTCTGTAGCACATGTGGCAAATACCTTCCCTCATCTTCTTTTAACCTCTTTATTAATAGTGGCTTTTTTTTTTTCAGAAGGACACAATACCTTTATTTTATTTGTTTATTTTTATGTAGTGTCAGGGATCGAACCCAGTGCCTCACGCATGCTAGGCAAGCGCTCTACCACTGAGCCACAACCCCAGCCTCTAATGGTGGCTTTAATAATAATTTTTAGTGGACTATTTCTAAAGCCTCTCATTTTTCAAAAGTGACATCTGTCACTTTTAACCCCATAGTTCCTTCAATGAAGGGCCCCACAGAGGCACTGAGGCCTGGCTGCACTTCAGCAGGTCCATCTAGTCTGGGGCTCCAGCACCCTCCTCACTGGGGAGGCCTGGAGATGCTCCCAACAAACAATACCCTGGCCATGGTGGCCATTAACCTCCCTGGGTGCCATGTGGGTAGGGAAGCTGCTGGATAAGTTCTCATAAGCACCTGCTGGTCAAAGGCCACATGCACTTTTCTGGGTGGCAGATGCTTCCAGAATCCCATCAGAGGGGGCACCAACCTAGCCTGGACCCTGAAGAGTGGTTCCTGGGCACTTGGCCCTGGGGCTGACCTCCTGAAAGGTGCCAAGGCTTGGGGATGGTGATCCCTTTACCATCCCTAGCCCCTAAGGGGGCTCTCCCTAGGAAGCTGGCCAACTTGGTTCCCTGCCTAAACCAAATGTCTCTTTTCCCTCCACCAGCTGCCCACTGCCAGGATGATCGCCTTCGCTATGGCCCTCCTGGGCTGCGTGCTGATCATGTACAAGGCCATCTGGTATGACCAGTTCACCTGCCCAGATGGCTTCCTGCTTCGGGTAAGACCAGAGGCCTGGGCGGGGAGCAGCAGAAACCCCCCTGGCCCTTGCATGCCATCAAACACTTCACAGGTCCTTCCAGGCTGACGCCAGACATGCTTCTCCCTGGGAGCCCCCTCCTCTTAACCACGACCACCTGGTCCTGTGGCTCTCCACGAAGCCTCCGTGGATTCTGACCTGGAGGTGGATCTTAACTGGAAACGATCTCCATTTCCATAGACCCGCTGCACCCCGTGCCTGGACTTCCAACCCCTCTTCCTCACCTGCCCCAGCTAGCCCCTGACCCAGCCCCGCCCCTGCCCCCGCCCCCGCAGCACAAGATTTGTACGCCGCTGACCCTGGAGATGTACTACACTGAGATGGACCCCGAGCGCCACCGCAGCATCCTGGCAGCCATTGGGGCCTATCCGCTGAGCCGAAAGCACGGCACGGAGATGCCCGCGGCCTGGGGAGACAGCTATCGCGCCGCCAAGGAGGTGCACAAGGGGCCCACTCCGGCGGCGGCGGCGGCGGCGGCAGCTGCAGCGGCGGTGACCACCGAGACCCCCGGGCAGCCCTCGACCAAAGGAGAGAAGGAGGAGGCCCGCAAGGCAGCGAGTAGCGCACCTCCCCCGGCCCCTCAGTGAGGGCCCTCCAGCCAGCCTGGCCCGGGTAGGTGTGTCCGCCACTTCGTGGCGCTGACCTGCCCCATCGAGGCTTCCCTCTGACCTCTTGCCGCCTTTTCTGAGCACGGGACACTCCTTCCTCCCCTCTCGGCTTTCCTGGGAACCCCTCATTCCGGCCCGGCCCGGCCCGGCCCCGCCAGAACCTCACCAGGCGGGCGCCTTCCCACTCCCACCACGCAGAGTCTGAGCAGTAGTTGGGGCGAGCAGGGAGCCGGGCGAAAGGGAAAGGGGGCCGCAGAGCGCCTCTTCCCACCGGGTGGGCGTGGGGGGCGGGGAGCGGGCTGCACACCCGGCCTTGCCCCTCCCGCTTAGCCCCAGCCCCTCCATCTTCGCAGCATTCCCCAGCCAGCTCCTGTGACCAGAGCATCGCCCCCGCTGCTCTCCCACCCAGTGTTTGTGCCCCTACCCCCAGGCACCCTGCTGAAGCCCCGCCCCGGGGGCCTCTGGCTCTGTCGCTTTTCTGTAAGTAAAGATTCCCATCTACTGGCTCTTTGTGTTTTCTGCACCTACTGCCCGCCCCCAACCCCCATGTGATGGAGCTCCTGGAGCCCAGAGGGACCCCTGAAGTCCTGCTCCTGAGGCGGAGGATCAGGGATGCTCTTGCTGAGGAAGATCCCACTACCTTGCTAGTTGGGCTGGGGGCCATAGCCCTGCGTTGGGGCCTTGTCCTCCACTTGCCCTGACTGGCCACAATGGAACAACTTCACTTGCCCTCAGGGAATTCTAAGAGTCCTGGGTGGACTCTGTCAACCGCCAAACCCATGTTCTGCCATATCCCCGTCTTGTCTGCTGGGTTCTGGGCCTGGTCCTTGAGCCACCAGTGTCTAGCAGTAGCCCGGCTCCTGGGGTTACCCCCCCCCCCACACACACACACACACACACTCCTGGCAGCACCTGCACTGGGTTTCTGCCCCAAGAGGAATCACTTACTGTCACCATGAATGTCCTAATGAAGCAATGAGCAAATGCTTCACCTGGATAGGGAATGGGGCCTTGCAGGGTCTGTGAGCTCTGGCCCCGCCAGCTGGGAGCTAGACAGGACAGTCTTGGGGGGCCCAGTGGGAAGATCCCTCACTCCTACCAGCCCTTCCATCAAGCCAGCTTGCAACTCTGCAGGACCCCAGCTGTCACCTTGCCCACCTAAGCACCTGTTCTCTGTTGCTTCCATTTTGGGGCCCAGACATCCCACCTGGTTGGAGGTGAGCTCAGGCCTGGGGACTGTGGTGGCAGTTAGGGGCCATGACAGACAGTACTTGGTGGGGCATGAGGAAGCAGCTCCAAGCAGGAGGGGCCACTGTGTCCTGGCTGGAGCAGGAGGGGCACTAGCATCCAGGGGGCCCCCCAGTGGAAGTCCCTGGGAGAGCCCCCCTACCCCAGTGTGGACCAGACAACATGGACCAGAACCTGTGTGTCGGAAGCAGATCTGGGAGGATACACACCGTGTCCCCATCTCAGTGCACACCTGCCACACACGCCCCATGTGCCCTGTCTCTGTACACACACCATGTCCCCTGACTCTGCACACACCACACACACACCTCATGTCCCCATTTCTGTGCACACACTATACACACACCCTGCATCTCCTCTCTGTAAACACATCGGTACACACACATGTAAAATCTGCTTGAGTTCATGTGACAGCAGTACCCTGGGGTTGACTCCAGTCTCCCCTTATTTGTAGCCCCCTCTACTGGGAGAAGACCAGTCCCTCTTGTCCTTCATGTGTTTATTTGCTCAGTCCTAAAATGCATCAGAGTCAGCAACTCAAACAAAGGAGTCTGCAAACTGGAACTTAGGGTCTTTTGGGTCTTTAATCTGAAGGTACAAAGTCCAAGTGTACACTCAAAGGTCATTTGAGTTAGTCCTTTTTTCCACATCAGTGAGATTACATTATTGATTTGAAATACGGTGAGGGGTGAGGCTCATTATTGCTCGTACTCTGTTTTAGGCCTCTCCCTACTTTGTTATTTTTATTCTATTATGTAAGACTTTGACATGGTTCCAAAAGTCAGCTCGGATGAGACACCCCTGCCACCCCCACCCCACCCCCGCATCCCACCCATCAGGAAATGCATCTTATTCATGTCTAGTTTGGCTTTCCTCTATCTCCTTTGCAAAAATAATCAGATACACTTTCTTTTTTCTGCTCCTTTTGTCCACAGTGACAACCCCCAGTTGTCTGGCCCCAGCTCAGGTCCTGTCCTTCATCCTGTCCTGGTGCTACCTGGAGTGGGCACACACCCACAGGTCACAGGTTCAGACCCCCACATGCCCTCTCTCTCAGGGGGCAAAAGCTGGAATCCCAGGATCCACAGGCCACCTGCACTTCTGTCCAACTGGGTGGCAGACTCAGGCACTCCTGGACCCCTTGGCAGGCTCAGTACTTCTCTAGAACAACTGATGGCATTCAGGAAGGCACTTGGGTCAGTCATGTTAATCACATCGAGTGCTGGGCAGAAGTGCTGGCTTTAGAGAATGAGGGAAGCAAAAACACAGAACTTGATGGGCCATTTCAACGTTAGTGTCGTGATAAGGTTGAGATAAACAGCCTGGGGTCACCTCTGCAAGAGGACTAGAGCCAACTGGAGCTGGCCTGTTGGGGACTCCCTCTAGAGTCTTTCCTGGCCTCGGGTGGGACAAGTAACAGCCTCCTTTTGTTTCTGTTTTTTTTTTGTTGTTGTTGTTGTTTTGTTTTGTTTTTTATTTGGCCTGTGGAGCTTCCGTGAGGCGACTCCATTCTGGTTTGGTTGGCCTGTTGGGCCTAGTACAGGAGCCCAGTCCAAAGCAGTGGCCCCCGTAATTTTATTTTCCATTTCCTGTTTGCAGTTTGTCATGAAGGCACACTGGTCAGCCACGTAGGAGGCAGGGGGCAAGGTGGTGGGGGGACGGGCACACCCTGCCAGGGCAGAGGGCCGAGCTGTCACCCTTGACTCAGGGTTCTGGTGACCAGCCCCTCCTGAAGCATCGGGGCCCCCAGCCTGAGTCACATCCCCAGCACAAGCTCAGGCCTTCATAAAGGTGTGGTCCACAGTGGCTGCAGGAGCAGCTCAAGCTTGGGGCTCTGTGCCCAGCAGGACATGGGGCAGAGGACGGCTGTGCAGCCATGCCTCGCTGGGCAGATCACAGGCGACAGTGCCCTGCTGAGTGTGGTGCTGTGCTGCTCTCGGCGTCGGCTACACAAACAGTGCGGCCAGGACTAAGTCATGCACATGTGTTTTTTTCTGCTTGGTGATTTATCTTCAGGGTTAAGTTCTAGAAGTGGTATTTCTGGGTCAAACATATCTTTTTAAAATATTTTTTTAGTTGTTGATGGACTTTATTTTATTCATTTATTTACCTGCAGTTCTGAGAATCAAACCCAGTGCCTCACACGTGTGAGGCAAGCACTCCACCACTGAGCCACAACGCCAGCTCTAAAAGCATGTTTTATAATTATAAACTTAAACAAGTTTTTTACAAGCTTGAAAGCTCAACCTAAAAGTTTATTTATAAACCCAGTAATTTTTGAGTTAGTGTGAAAATACACCACTTATTTTTTAACATTCCATTAGCTTATACTTGATACATTAAATCCTCTAAACATTTTTTAAATGGTTTGGATAGATTTTATTTATTTTATTTTTTTTTTGAGTTGTTGATGGGCCTTTATTATTTATGTATTTATTTATTTATATGTGGTGCTGAGAATCGAACCCAGAGCTTCACACATGCCAAATCTCTAAACTTTATACAGACATTTTGCAGACATGTTAAACTTGATTAAACTCCCCAGGTGTTTCAAACTGGAATCACAAATCAACGTATCTGACCCTCTTGGGCACCTCAACCATCCCACAGTGGCATGCTGCCCGGGGAAATACAAGAGCACTTATGCACCACATACTCTTTGGGATGGCCAGCGGCACAATCTGGTGACCTGTTTTAAAACGAAAACCACAGGCTCATGAGACAGAATTTAAAGATTCGAATCTAGACAAGTTGAGTGTACTTTGTTAACTTAAAATCTCCACACGGTTTGAGAAGATCGTTCCTAATCTCTGCCCACAAGTAAGAGCCCTGCACCCCTGGCACCTCAGGTGAGCCAGTGCACCTGCTGGCCAGGACTCTCAGTCGGGAGTGGGACCCTGGCCCCCTCCACTAAAGCCAGGCCTTGCCCCAGAGGCATCCAGACCCCTCCTGGGCCTGTCAGCCAGACACTACCTGGGACCCCTTGCATTCTGTAAGGGTCCTGAGGTGCCTGTAAGGCTTGTTTTACTGAAACCTCTCTAAATGGTCTTGAAGGTGATCACCCTATTGCAGTGGAACCCTGGCAACTCCCTCCAGGTGGGCTGTTTGAGGGAGCCATGGGTCCAGGAGGTGGCCTCAAAGATGTACCCTCCCAGGACAAGCCTGGGGACTCACCGGTCTCACTCACCACCCTACCTGGACATCAGTTGCCATGTGACTCTTGTATGGGTACCTCTTAGCACTGCCAATTCCTGGGTGACCCCACTGAATGACCCAGGCATGATCCTGTGATGCTGCAGCTTTAGGAAATCAAGAGCGGGGTGCGCTCTTCTCCCAGGAGTCCTGTAGTACGGAGCCTTCCTCTCCTCACGTGTCCACGTTCTACTGGGATGCAGGCACTATGGGGACAGGCAGAGGTGGCAGCTCACCCTAGATGTCTGAAAGGACTCCTCTTATAGCTGGAGTTAGCCAGAGGCGTCTAAGGGACTTTGCTCGGACCATGCTGCCAAGACCACTGGGGCCAGGTGGGCTCCCACCCGTGACGAGGTTCTGTGGTGGCCAGCAGTTGGGGCTCAGGTAGATGGGGAGGGATGTGGCCAGCTGTGCCCTGGGGCTACAGTTTCCAGTCTGTAAGATGTTGCTTGGGACTGGATTGGGGGCCCTCTTTCAAGGAGTGGGTGACTCACTCCAGAACAAGGCTCTCAGGCTCTCAGGCCCTGCTTCTCCTGCCCACCAAGATGAGTCTATGAGGCCAAACCCTCACAGCCTACATCTCCTGCTCAGGCTTTTCACCCAGGAGGCTGGGACTGGATGTCAGGTGGGCTCCCAAAGGTCGTTCTGGTCCTCCTGTTCTGGCACATAGACCCAAAGCCCAGACACTCCAACTGGGGCAGGGTGGCCCCCTGCTGTCCTTGAGGAGGAATGAGGAATGTTGTGACAGGGGTCCTGTCCCATCCGCACTATTCATGGTGAGACTCAGCTGGCCCACAGGAGCCTGGGCAGAGTCCAGACAAATGAAGGGACCCTGGAGGGTCCCTCAAGATACTGGAGCCTGCCATTAGGGCCAGATGAGTCGGGTTGAAACCAGGCCCATGGGGGAGGGGGCTACCAGGGTGCAGCAGCCTCATTCCTCTCTTATCTCATGGGAAACCCACTGGGACAGGCAGGGGCTGCTCCAGAGGCCTCAGCACCCACCCT